GCTGGCGGGCGGGGGCTGCGAGGGCTCGGCTGGAGGGAAAGGAGGGTCCGGGGGGCGCCGCCACCGGGACGTGGGCGCTGGTCACCCGCAGGGCTCAGCTCGAGGCTCTCCTGGCGCTTCCAGATTTTTCCCTAATTTCCCTCCCCGGTAAATGAACGCCAGGCGTCGTGCTCGCTGCTTGCCCTCCTCCGTAGCGCTGCGGGGCTGTCCAATTTACTGGTTTCTTATAGGAAATATAAACTAGCGCCTCGAAGCTGAACGGGCCCCCCTGCTGTTGCTAGGCTGGCCAGGAGCTCAAAACAACGGTTGATTAAACCAAGTCATTTCAATGTATTCCTTTCCTTTTAGCAATAGATTTTTTTTCATTCATAAAACCCTGAAAAGTTACTTTTCTTTGGAATTGTGTCATGCTTGGGTAATACACTATTGGCTGTCTCTTACCAGAGCGCTGCCATACACTATTGGCTGTCTCTTACCAGAGTGTGCTGCTTTTTGCCTTTTCAGTAGCAGTAAGTTTTTTGGTTGGACACATTCATTTATCTAAACCGGTACTAGAAACATCTCAAAACATCCACCGATATCAAATATTTCCAAGCTAAGTACTGTGGTGCAAAGTATATACGTAAAATAAACTTTGGACTTGAAGGGCTTTATTGTTGAGGAACTCCCGCAACATCTGCATGCGGTCTCGCACGAGACCGGTAAAAGTGAATCCCACGTGATAGGTCTCAAACTTTTGGAACTGGAAATAACACTTCTGTGTTATGCAAATTTGAATTGATATTTGAGAAACTGTGACACCGGTCATATTTTCTCTTATATAATGCAGTACGTATCTTGAGGGGAAGAAAAAGGCCTTTTCCTATTGTTATGTCTACTATTTTGACATGTTTTCCAACTAGTTCACTGGAAGTACTGTAGTTTTCTAGAGAAATATTTTCTTCCTCTATTGAATTGTTAGGGGTGACCTAATTCAAGTCAGGGCTGTAAGCAGAATTTCATTGGAAATGAACAAGCTTCCTTTTTTAATAGTCTCAAGTTCATATTTATGTTGTGTAGGATGTGAGCATTTTTTTTTTTTTTTTTTTTTTTTTAACCAATACCAAGGATTCCTTGGTATTAAAAGGAACAAGAAAGGTTGAATATACTATAATGTTGAAAGATGTTCATTCAGAGCATATAATAAAGAAATATTCATATCAATATATTAACACCTATGAAAAATATACTTAATTCAAGCATGTGAAGGTAATTAATCATATTTGTTCTTAATAAATGTATTTTTATGTTCTTCCTGTTCTATAAAGTTTTGTTTTTACACATGGGAATTGAGATGTCCAAGTCACAATATGCAAAATATTTAATAGATTTCAGCTCTCTCTGTTGAAGCTTGCCAGGCATAAACAGAGTTCAAGAGCGAGCATGTAAAATCAGTCCTTGGTGTTAAAGAGCAGTGTTGATTTACCGTTGATAAGGTGATCAAATATGCAAAAAACAAAGTTATCAGTAGTGTTTCCATTGTGCCAGGTGTGTTCAACCTACACCCTGTGGAGGATATGGAGAGTTATGCTAGAGATATTTGGACAGCGTTGCTGCTTTTGTTGCTCAGGAGGATTCAGCAAGGAGCATGAAGGTCAAGTGAATGTTTGTGGGACAGCAGTGACCTTCCTCTGGCTGTCATCTCGTGGGACACCTTGGTTCTTCTCTTGCAGTACTTGTTCACATCCGTGTTCCGATGTGTCAAAAGTGCCCAAAGGACAATTGTGAAACATGAGGACAGCAAGGCAAATGTCAAAATAATTAATCCAGTCCAAAGTGCTGTATGAAACCGAGCTGACCACAAGAACTAGCTTTATTAATTGCCCTGGAGACCAGAACTAGTAGTAGTGGTAGTTACCTGGTAGTCATGTAGTTGCACGCGGTGAAGGGTAAGTGGGCAGCTTTGTTATTTTTATCACTTGAGCCCGTGCTGTCTGGTCTGCTTCATCGCGGATGCAGTCAGGTGGGTAAATCGGTCAGAGAGGCTTCAACTTTGCTGAGCTCTGCAGGGAGCGTGTGGTGCTGGAGACGTTGCTCTCCAAGCACACTTGGGCTGCTCTAAAGGAAGCTTTTGAGCACGCCGCTCTGGATTTTTGCCACCTTTGTCAGGTAAATCGCCTCTATGTCATGGCTGACAATATCAGATGAGAAGAGTGTGTGCTGATGGGATGAGCTCGTTCATCACTGCTGCTGGAGTGGTTTGCTCTGTGTCTTGGTGTGAATGCAGCCTGTGCAGGCTCTAGGATACTGGCCAAATTAATGAGAGGAGCTTGAAGTTGGTCTTTGGCTAGCTTCTCTGAGCATTCAGAGAAATGAGAGCTATATGGTTGGGTGATAGTTGGCTAAAACGTGTTCTTTTGGGGTAGATTTTATTCAGAGTTGGATAGCCTATGTCCTTCCTCCTCCTCCTGTTTGTTTTTTTTGAATTATGTGCTTCCTACTTTGGACAGGAACGTAGTGCTTATCTGTGAGGATCTCCTACAAGCCAGTGAGATGATGAGTCAGGTTTAAGACACGGTCATGGCTTCTTCTGAACTTCTCTCCAACTTCTAGAAAAGTGATGAGTTCACTGATTTTGGAGAATTCGGTGACTTATTTTTTTGGTGGGTAAAAGGAGAATACATCCAGGCCGCTCTCTGGAAATGCATGATCTTTTTAGCCAAGATCTTTTAGCCAGTGATCTTGGAAGGGCTCAGCGTTCGCTTGCTTTTGAGTAACAGGGGATAATTATTTTGAATAGCTTCTCAAATTGTGGCGTGTTGATTGGAAACTTCCCAGAAGCATGTAAAATTAAGTGTCCTGCTCTGTATCAGCCTTCATTTTCTCTCATCAGATCTCCAACTCTATTCCTTTCTCAGGATAGTTCTGTTGCTTGTGTTCTTGAGGCCTTTTTGTAAGGGGTTGGTTTATGTGAGGGAGTGTTTGGATTGTTTTGTTTTTGCTGGTGGTGTTGAGGCTGGAGAACAGATTGAAGATACGACCTTTACATAGCTGGAATTTGTGTTTATATAAGGATGAAACCAAACTGAAATTCAATAACATTGCCAGTGACTTGTGACATCTGCTAATTAATTCATTCTGGTTTTTGTTTGCTTGTTTGTTTTTAATAATCTGCTGTAGCCTGAGATACTAGTTGTGAAAACATGCACAAATGCAGACAGATTTTTATGCCAGGGAGCTCTGTGTGTGTGTATGTAACTGCTGAAAATATTCCATAAGTATATATACAAAGCAGGGTGTAGTCAAGTCAGTGTTATTGTGAAAACTTTACCTTTAATATCAGTAGTATCTAAGTTGGGATGTGATAGTGCTTGGTAAGTAATTGGGAGCCGGTCTGCAAAACCTTATTGTTGGATAGTGTTGTTAGTTAGAAGTGTGAATAGGATTTCTAATGCTGATTAACAAGAACTTTTAAGAGGTGGTAGTCCACTTCCAGAATTTTGGAGGAGTTGATATTTTACATGCTTAGATTTCACCCATTTAGTGTGGAACCGAGCACAATGATATTTAGTTTTTTTTTATTATTTATTTTTTTGATGGAGTTTAACAAAATTCGACCTGAAAAGTTGGTTCCATATAGTATGTGCTGCTTTGGCATTCCTTAAATGACTGCCATTCATTCCTAGCTTGCTCATAATCTCTCTTCTTTTTTAGCTTCCTACTGGGAATCCATTATATGAAACTTATTACAAACAGGTAGGTTTTTAAAAGAATTTTAAAAAAATAAAGTATAACTTCTACTTCCCCAAGATTTCCTCTTTCCTTTCTTCCAACTTCTGTAAATTCTCCCTGCAGGGTGGTAGTCACCCACTTGCATATCTCTGTGACCTATAGGCAAGACACGTTTCACTTCCTATTTGTGCTTTTGTGGCAGACATGCTTCAGCTGAACGTGAATTCCTCTCTTTCAGGTAGATCCAGCATACACAGGGAGAGTTGGAGCAAGCGAAGCTGCGCTTTTTCTTAAAAAATCTGGTCTCTCTGATATTGTCCTTGGAAAAGTAGGTTGAAGGGTTTTTTAATGTTTTGCAGTCATTGTACGTATACTTGCACGAGTCCATCTAGGGGCTTAGTTTTATGTTTGAGTGGAAAGTCACAGATGGTTCCTGAAATTTAATACTTATTCACATAATTATACGATATGAATTTTAAAATCATATTTCATAACTTGAGAACTGCAATGAACGGTTCAAGTCATAAATTATAAATTGCTGTGAGTTTAGTTATTTTAAAACTTCAATAGCTTTTATTTTGTATCTCTGCAGATATGGGATTTGGCTGACCCGGAAGGTAAAGGGTACTTGGATAAACAGGTAAATAAAATGTGCGTGTAGACTTGTTACGTTACCTTCGACAGATTAGTCTTGATTCAGGAAAACTTTATCTGTATTGTGTATCCATTTTACATACAGAATAAGAATATTTGGGGTTTTTTCCCCAAGTAGATATGTCTAGTAATCCAATAAAATTTAGTTAACATTATTCAGTGAGGCTACTGGAGAAGTTTGTTGGTTGTCATTTTCTGTCCCTTGTTTGTTTTTTAAATAATCAGGATCTGTGATTTACATACATCAGTAGTCATTGAGATTTAAACAAATAGGAAGATTTTTGTGTTAGTTTGGTTTTTAAATGATTAAGAATGGTTGTTTATTCTAACAATGCACTGTGTTGTTTGTAGGGTTTCTATGTCGCATTGCGCCTTGTAGCATGTGCACAGAATGGCCATGATGTTAACCTGAGCAATCTGAGCTTGACTGTGCCACCTCCTAAGTTTGTAAGTAGCATATACCTAAATATACGTATTTATTATTTGAGAACTAGGACTTCATTAATGATTACATCATAAATGTCCTGGTTCTGAGACTTTAGGCTGCTTTCAAACATCTCCTTAGGCAGCTGCACTTAAGGCTGCTGTGGTGCTCTTTTTCCTAGCAATGTGTTTCAGCCCCTTCCCAGGCTGGTTTGAGTGTAACTATGCTAAGAACTAATTTCTGTGCAAAGGAAAAGTAATTATTTTGAGGCTGGATCAACAAGAATGTAATAAAGGGCAGGACTGCAGCTTTGCCAACAGAAGCTGCTCCTAGCAGCTTAGCTCATCTCTTGGTTGGGTGGTTAGGTAACCAATACACACTGTACAGTCTGAGTTCTGTAACAGTACAAATTAATATGACTTTTTTTTTAATTTGGGTACATATTATTAAACTTTGTCTTTAATTTTAGCATGACACTAGCAGTCCCTTACTGATGACACCCCCTGCAACAGAGACTCACTGGGCTGTTAGGGTAAGTGTATAAGATAACACATTCCATTCTTTCTTGAAAAGTAAATATTTTCCTTGTCTGTAATTTTCCCATTGAGAGAGTTTTGTACCAACTGTATTTCTCATTTCAAAAGTCCTTCCTTTCCAATAGCAGATTTGCGCACAATAGAGAGTATTGAGCTGTAGTTTTATACTTAAATAAGTGTTAAATAAGCCTCTGGCAACCCCCAGTGTAATGTTTTTTAGATACAATGGATTTTAATCTTCTGCCTGGATTTCTTCCAGAGTCTTAATAGTAGGCACTTTCATGTTTGTATAAAGGAACCCCACTGAGAACAGTGAAGCATTTCACTAAATCCATCTCAAAGTATTAATTTACAGATTGAGTTCATAATACTTTCTAATTAGTATTCAGTGGTATATATCATTGGAATAGAGTAACTTTTGATATATACGTTGTATTATTTGTATTTAGGTAATTTTCTAATGCAAACATTTTCCTGAAAGGTAGAAATTTAATAATAAAAAAGCACTTATAATTACTTTTAGCTTGTGTGTTGCGATATAAGGTGGGGAGGAAAGTGTCTAGAAAGAGTAAAGTTTGGTTTTACTCTACAGAGTTTGTCAGAATTGGTTAAAATTTGGTTACCAGGGTTTTAATCGGAATGCTTTGCCCTTTTGGAACGCTGCAGAAACACAGATATGGCATAGTACCTTCTCTTAGCTGTAATAATTTCAGCCTTGAAACTAAGGTCCTAAATCTAGTTCCGTGTTTTTTACATTTAAATACCACATAATGGTACTTGCAAGAAAGCTTGGAAATTCAGAATGAGTATGTATGAGTACTGACCAGACTTACTTTCTTGCAAGATCTCATTTTCAACACTCACACAGGCACACTTTTTTACTTATTCAGGCTATTTCTTACCAACTAGGTGGAAGAAAAAGCAAAGTTTGATGGTATTTTTGAAAGCCTTTTGCCAGTAAATGGTTTACTTTCAGGAGACAAAGTAAAACCAGTACTGATGAATTCAAAGCTACCTCTTGATATCCTAGGAAGGGTAAGTATGCTGTTTGGATTTGTCTGCTCTCTATTTAAACTGCTCTTAGTTGCAATGTTAAATATTTAAGTGTAGCTTATCAACATAGATCAGGTTTTGGCTGAGATTTTACATGAAGTGCATGCCATAAAGTAAGAACATTAAGTAGGCTCTGAAGTCATCCACTTAGAAATAACAATAATAATGGTAATTTGGGCCCTAGAGTAGATTAGCTTTATTATCTTTCTCTTCATTTTAAGAGCTGGAAATTTTGTTTTCATCTGCTTAAAGGAAAGAAATGCCTCCCTTAAGCCATTGTATCTTAGAGTGCCCTAGCTTTTGCATCCCTCTAAGTCTCTTGTAAGTTCTATTGACTGTACTTGAAAATGATGCAACTAAAGGTGATAGATGCTTCGATTCCCTTTTGCAGAACTTCAAAAGATACTTCTGAATGTTTTTAGTCATCTTAATGAGTCCTCAATTGCCATATGGAGAAATGAGAAACCTGCATCCAGAATCTGTTTAAAACCAGTGTTTCCACAAAATACTTGGTTTATGTTGCGAGAAAACTCTAATCTAGTCTGTCTCATAAGAAAATGTATAACTCGGTCTAACATAACTAATAAGATGATCACAAAAATCTCTTTTGAGTCTTTGGGGATTGTTAGCATACCTAATATGATGATGATCAGTGATATGAAGTGTAACTTATTTTCTAAATCACTGTGTTTTTCATAATTGCTCTAGGTCTGGGATCTCAGTGATATTGACAAAGATGGTCACCTGGACAAAGATGAATTTGCTGTGGTAAGTTCCTTTAAATTCTCAATTCACAGAATATGTGCTAGAGCAAGTGACTCAAAATTGTCTCTCAAGGGCTTTGCAACCTTATCTGCCAGCCTGCTGTTCTAACCTAGATCATTCACATGCAGCTATAAATCAGTCTTTTTCAAAATCATCTACTAAATCTTATCTGTGTCATGAAGTTTAAACACTTTGAAATTTCTTGAAAAACCCCCTCTCCTCTGGCTTACATCTCCAATCTTACCATGTTCGTTTTATGAACATGGGAATGACTGATGTTGGACAATCTTGTTGCTTTTTGTTTGATTCTTTAAGATGTTATAGCTGACCTCTTTGCTTTTGCAGGCAATGCATTTGGTTTATAGAGCTCTGGAGAAAGAGCCAGTTCCTTCCATATTACCCCCTTCTCTCATACCACCTTCCAAAAGAAAGAAGACCCCTGTATTTCCTGGTGCAGTTCCTGTTCTCCCTGCAAGTCCTCCACCAAAAGATAGCCTACGTTCTACCCCCTCTCATGGTAGTGTGAACAGTCTGAATAGCACAGGGAGTTTGTCTCCCAAGCACAGCATCAAACAAGCACAGGTACAGATCTTGTTTGCTGACGGTTGTTTTCAATATACCAGTAAACTGCGGGGGGGAAAAAAAGGCAGATTTTTGTTGTCTTCATCTAAGCGCTTTTAAAAAACGTGTGTTGTTGGGGAATTTGGATGGAGGGGATGGGGATTGTAAGATTTGGAAGAACTAAAGGTTAGAAGGTGAATTTCAGTCCTAAGGACTGTGAGGTAGAAAAGCTTTCTGGGAATTTTTGCTGCTCACAGTCTAAAAATCTTAACCATTAATGGGAAAAGGGGAAGTACCTCTTAACTGATTGATTTACTTGTACAAGATGTTCAGCATCTTCAGCTCTGAAGAGTGTTGTAGGCACTGTGTTGATAAAGATTGTTTATGTTCTTTTGACTGAAATATAAAACGTTGTTTTACAGCCATCTGTGAACTGGGTAGTACCACTGTCTGACAAAGTGCGATACGATGATATTTTCTTAAAAACAGACATGGACATGGATGGCTTTGTGAGTGGCCAAGAAGTGAAGGATATATTTATGCACTCAGGTCTGTCCCAGAACCTCCTAGCACATATATGGTAAGAATTAAGTAGTAGCTGTATTTTTGCAGCCATCCAATATAGGAAATCAGATTATCCAGCCAGGATTTCAAAACTAATAATACAAAACAAGAAGTCTTTTTACTTGTCCTTTTGAAGTGTTATTAGACACGCTGACTATATGGAAAAACTCCTCCTCTTTTAGTGCAGGGAGGAGTAAATTCTCACCTTGCTTTCCTGGGAGAGGAATGTAGGTCAGTCTGAGAACGATGATTGTTTTCTTGCAGTTCCAATGTTATAAATACTTTTCCAGAGAGTAATGCTGCTTTATTCAGCCAAATATGTCTAATAAAATATTGTGCTATTATAGAACTCTAACATGAACTCTTAGGCCAAAACAATATGATGTGTACTTTTATTTCAGACTGTGATAAATATTCAGTCTTTGACTGTTTATAAGTGTCAATCTCTTTCAGACTGTGATAAATATTCAGTCTTAATACACTTTGACTGTTTATAAGTGTAAATCTCTTTTTTACCAGGGCTTTGGCAGACACAAGGCAGATGGGAAAGCTAAGCAAAGATCAGTTTGCACTAGCAATGTATCTCATTCAACAGAAGGTCAGTAAAGGGATTGATCCTCCACAAGTGTTGTCCCCAGATATGATCCCTCCCACAGAGAGGAACCATAAGATACAGGTAAGTCACTGAGTTCAAGTATACTGAGTTTATATACTTTCAAACCTTTGAGTACTAGTTTTCATATTTGTATTTCATAATATGCTAAACCATTGCCACTTTTTTTTTCCCTATCTACTCCTACAAAGTTGTTTTTTCAATATTTCAGAATACACATATTTTTAAAACACCCAACACAGTAGATAGGAATATACTTTTAATACCCTATATTGTTTATAGGCCTGTCTAATCCTTTTCTTGAGCCCTGCTTTGTTCCTTTCCTCATAGTTTGTGTCAATGAATTTCTAAAATCCTCCCAGTGTATACTTCTACTGTGTGAATATACCCATCTTCTCTGTAAATTAAGTCTTTTTTTGTTTATTTTCACTTTCCCTAACCACAAAGCTTTTGAACCTTTACGGAGATTGTTGTTGCTCTTGCGTGGGTCCTCTTAAGCTTTTTCCTATATCCTTTTTCTGTAGACTCTCTCAGGTTACTTGACCCCTGTAGGAACAGAAATTTCAGCACTAACAGAAATGCGTCGTGTGAGTAATTGTAATGTCTTAAAGAATGCAGTTTTGTCTGTATATTCTACTTATATATGTGAAATAGTGAGCTGTGTTATCCTGGCTATTTCAGTAGCACATTTTAACTCACTTCATTGGGTTGCCTTTTTTTTAGTATTGGATAAAGCCAAGCTTCCTGTGGTTGTCAGGATAATCTCAAAGTGACTTTAATGACAATATCTTTGCCTAAAAGGCAAAGGAGGAGAGCCTTTGTGTCTTCCCTATCCTACATCTGAATCACTGTGAAAATGACTTAAACTGCAGCTCTGAAGGAACCAAGCATAACTGCAGAAATTGGCCTTTTTTAATTTGGGGCAGAGCTCAGGATGCCTAAAATGACATTTTGATTTAAATTGAATTCCCTGGAAGTTTTGCTATTGACTTTAACAGGGTTGGGGTTTTTGGTTTTGAATTTTTGTTCTGTTGTTGCCTGAAGTTTACTGTTTGCCTTTGTGCATGTCCTTTATCTGCTGTATGCTCAGCTATTTCATCAGTTAAATGGGAAAAGGGAAAATTCCCACATCGCATGGGGAGAATCCTGCAGCATGTGGGCTGGTTTTGGGGTGATATTTTGATGTCTCCCCTAGAATTATTCAAAAGCATAAAATGTGGGTCATGTCCCACCTTTGTCCTCAGCCTTTTCAAAGGAAGATCTTCTGTTGCCACTGGGCATTTTAATAGACTATTTCATTCTTTAACAGGATAGCTCAAGTTCTGTTGGATCAGGAGAATTCACAGGGGTGAAGGAACTTGATGATATTAGTCAAGAAATTGCACAGCTGCAGAGGTAAATGTTGTGGACTATTAACAAAGAATGTTAAGGGTGGAAGAATCATTTCAGTATGTAATATTGCTGTGCCTGTTTCTTGTGTTTCTTTATAACTTATGGGTACTATGTTGTCTTTAGATTCATAGGCTTTAACTAGCTGAAACTGATGAGAAGTCTCCCCTTGATACTCTGCAATTAGTACCCAATTTTGTAAAGCTGCCCTGGTGCCCACCAGGTCATTTCAGAAGACTGCTTGTGGAACAGATAATATTTGTCAAAATAAAGGATACAGACATCTACTCTACTCGATGGGCTAGCATTTCTGACTGTGTTGTGCTTCCAAAATAATTGCGTGTGTGTATATATATTGTTGTTGTTGTTGATGTGTGGTATTTAACCATTTAATCAAAGTTTACATTTGCTTCCTTACAGAGAAAAATATTCCCTAGAGCAGGATATTAGAGAAAAGGAAGAATCAATCAGGCAGAAGACCAATGAAGTTCAGGTAAAAGTGCTATTTATCATTTTTAGTATATATTTCAATCTAAAATACTTTTGCAGAGGATTAAGTACTCTTTCTTCTAAATGCTCTTTTTCCTGTATTGGATTTTGCCTTAATTTACACAAAGGTGTTGATTTTCCTCTTCTCCATCAGAGATATTTTCTTCTGAGACTGGCAGCTATGAGTAGATAACGATATATGAACAGTTTGTAACTTTTTTTCATTAGTGCTTGACTTAAATTGTGTAATTTGGGAAATCATTGTTCAAAGGATATTGGTTTTGATCATTACCTTGCCTTACAAAAGTTCCCTCTGGCGAGAAAAAAAAAAAAAGGCATTTGTATGCATGAAATAGCCTGTATGACATAGCGAAACTGGAGTTTTCAACCTGTTCCTTGTGGCTTGTAAGGGCAACAGCTAAATCTAATGCAAAGCATGGAATTTTCCTCAGGAACTGCAGAACGATTTAGATAGGGAGACAAGTAACTTGCAGGAGCTGGAGGCTCAGAAACAAGATGCCCAGGACCGTCTGGATGAAATGGACCAGCAGAAAGCCAAGCTGAAAGATATGCTGAGTGACGTGAGGCAGAAGTGCCAGGAAGAAACACAGGTGGTGAGTGTACGTTAATTCTGGAGATTCTCAGAAGTAATACATTTTTTTTCTGAAGAAGATTCTATTTGTTTCATAAACAAGATGGTTTAATTTATTTATTTTTACCTTGAATAGCAATTTCCAGAGGTCCCAGAAGAGATTTTGCTAATCTAAGTACTTTTCATAATGGTCATAGGCTGAAAGGGGGCTGTTGAACCAGAAGGTTCCAGACGTTCCTTCATAGTAACATTTTATTTTCTGGTAGAAATTCAATGTTAAAGGTCACGTGAGAGAGTGAATAAGTAATGTCTTATGTAATTAGGTAAATTTAACTCTTTATCAGAGTTAAAATCAGCATTATGGTCCTAGCAAATGTTTGGCTGGAAAAGGAGCCAAATTCCGAAAGTTGCAAGGTAACCACTGAAGAAGCTCTTTTTAATTATCTTGATCATCAGTGTGGTATTTCTGTTATTTAGAATATTAATAATTTATTGTTTTTATTTTACCTGCTTTTACCAAGCAAATGTTACGTAATAAGAAAGATATAGTTCTTCAGATGAAGTTCTTTTTATCTTCCTTAGCTGTTGAAAGCTTGCTTTACAGCTTTATTATTTATGATAGTTTCATATAATATTAGAAATTATTTTTATTTCAAATTTCACTCTGGTTTTGGCATCGTCTTATAATTTTTTGTTTCAGATTTCCTCACTAAAAATGCAGATTCAATCTCAGGAATCAGATTTAAAATCACAAGAAGATGATCTTAACAGAGCAAAAGCAGAGCTCAATCGCCTCCAGCAAGAAGAGACTCAGCTAGAGCAGAGCATCCAGGCTGGAAAAGTGCAGCTTGAAACAATAATTAAATCTTTAAAATCAACACAGGAAGAAATAAATCAGGTACTCATTATAGTGTATACACTTCTTTGGGTCCTCTAAAAAGCCGAAGAAAGTGAACTAAAAAGATGACTTTGCAGGAAAGAAAAATATTGGTACTAAAATTAGCCTCTTTGACTTGTGCTCACTAAATTTATTGCCAGCTTGAGTCGGGAAAAATCTAGCTCTGGAAAAAAGCAACAGTCTTGCAACTGTGGTTAACCTCGGATGAAAAGATTCTCTATATATTGAATATGTGGAGTAACCAGTTCAGGAATAGCTGCGTGCTTCTGATTTGTGAGAATGACAGTTATTGAAAGAGTAACATACCGAATGTTTTTTTCTGCTTAGGCAAGAAGTAAACTTTCACAACTTCAAGAGAGCCAGCAAGAGGTCAATAAGAGTATAGAACAATACAATGAAGCCCTCAATGGGATTCACGGTGGTAGCCTGACAAATTTAGCAGACATAAATGAAGGCCTGGCACAGCCGGAAAGAAGCAATTATGGAGCTATGGTAAAAGTTTTACAATGTTATTTCATGTATTTTGCAATAGTTGGGTTTGTAACTAATCAGAAATTATTAAGATGCTTGTTTAGTGGACATGAGCAAGTGCCATGATCCCTGCAGTGTAACAGCCTCTGCTGCCAGGCCAGGCAAAGAGTTTAATTGTTGTGAAAAAGTGATTTTTAGGCTTTTGGTTAGGGTTTGTGCTACAAGGGATTTGTCTGGGTAACTTTTAGCAATACAGATATGCAAGCAAACTGTAATTATATAGGCAAAAGAAAGAGAGGTAATTAGTTGAGTGTAAACTAACAGTAACACTGCTATTGAGATATGGTTTTAAATCTCACTTAAGTGCTTGGTTTTTGTACTTGCATGGCTAGCGTTATGTTTACTTTCCAGTGGAAATTTCCAGGATGTTTCTCTTGCATATGAAACCCAAGTATCACTTACTGGAAGAAAACTCCAGAGTATGTTTATAGTAAACTTTAAAGCTTTGTGTCCCTTTCCTGTTTCTTAATTCCTCCTTCCTCTTTTTTTTTTTTTAATCTCTGTTTTGAGAAACACTAATGAAAATTCTTGTATGCCCTGTAAAGGGAGGACAGAAAGAAATCCTTTGTCTTCCTCAACCAGGAGGCAGTATCAGTAAGGTGGTTGGTATTAAATATTTTTTGCATTAGAGTTGAAAATAGAGTTTAATTTTAACGGGAGCTCAGTTGCAGAGGTGCTGCAGGTTGCTACAGTGGCAAGAGCCGATTTGAGGGGAAAGAAACTCAAAACAGATGAAAGACAGAAATGCAACCAAATGAATGTGATAAAGTTCCATGGCTTTAGTTTGCCACTTATGCACTCCAGCTTGTTTTGAAATTTGGCAAAGCTGTAGCTTGGTCTCCACTAACACCCTCTGTATCATCAAAGTGTTGGGAAAGTGCTGTGACCGAGCGTGCCACTCTTCCTGCCACACAGTGATATTGCCACATAGGGCTCTGTAGTGTGAAATCACTGCTTGGAGCTGAGCGTGCACAGATGAGCTGGCAAGAAACAATCTTGGTTATGACTTCTCAGTAGCAATTTCTTGTGCTTATAGTCTCTAAAAGTTTTTTAGGAAGACGTTTTTAAGATGGCTAAACTGGAACTAGATAACATAGAATGTCTGCTGAATGGGTAATTGAGCATTTTAATTGTGGCAAGTTGTTGTAGGGTTTCTCCTCTTTGTTTTTTAGGATGATCCATTTAAGAATAAAGCCTTGATGTTTACCAACAACACACAGGAACTCCATACAGATCCCTTTCAATCAGAAGATCCTTTCAAATCAGATCCATTTAAAGGAGCAGACCCTTTCAAAGGCAGTAAGTGACCAAGACCTTGAAGACCAGTTGTTCAGCAAATGATACTTTCACAAACTTTTATCATCTTGCTAAAATAGTGGACAAAACAAACAATTTTGTTTCTATTCTGCATAGGTGACCCCTTCCAGCATGATCCTTTTGCAGAACAGCCACCTGCTCCAGCAGGTAATAGCCCTCTTCATGACAGGATAGCTGAGATCCACAGTTTGTAGCCAAACACAAAGATCCATTTCAAGATTTCTTTGGCTTCAGATTTTTAATTTGCATGAGGGAATTCAATATTCTGACTGTGTGTGCATTCAGAATCAGAATGTTCAGTGACACAAATCTGACTTTATTAGGTGAAGTCCATAGCCTTGTCACTTACTTAATATAAGCATATACTTTTTGCAAGCTGGTTTAGAGAGGTATTTAGTAGTTTATCATGATTATTTATTTATTCAAGAGAAAATACTTCAGTGAGAATGAAGGCAGGCGTAGAAAGGCTCCTTATGCACATTTGCTGTTGCTTTACTGAAGTATTATTTACCTTGATTTACTTACAAAGTATTATTTACCTTTTAATATTCCTTCTAGATCCATTTGGAGGTGATCCATTTAAGGAAAGTGATCCATTTCGTACTTCTGCCCCTGAGGATTTCTTCAAAAAACAGGGGAAGAGTGACCCGTTTACCTCAGATCCATTCACAAAACCCCCTGCTTTACCCTCTAAGGTCAGTAATTTTAAAATCTGCACATAACAGAATTTCTACTGTTTGCACTTTCATTATTTGAAAGTTAAAATATATCACTAAGTAACTTTTTTCCTAACTGATGAAATGAAATTAATACTATTCTTGAAATTACATATATATTACTAAGGTGATTAGAATGGAACTGAAAAGTACTGCTAATGCTGTATATTCCCTATAAAAGATGCAGTTAGGTGGATTTTCCCCCCCTCTCCCTGTTGTCCCTTTCCACCTCCCCAAAGTTAGAGATTATTGGTCTTTCCAATTTGTCCTGGAGCAAGGGATTTTGATAGCTGTAAGAAGACACATGCATAATGCAGCAGCAGAATAACCAGATCTCTCTTCTTATTTTTCAGCCTGACCCTTTTGAAAGTAGTGATCCTTTTACATCTTCCAGTATTTCTTCAAAAGGCCCAGGTAAGAGGAATTAATTTTATGCTGAAGTGGGTATCTCTTATGAAAGAGGAATCAATTATCGAAATTCAAAATAAAGAACAAGTATTGTAAACTGGTTGGAAAATATCCTCACTGTGATCTTACTGATTATGAAGAGTAAACCCCATATACTCCACTGTTTTTTTTCCCAAGCCAAAGGGTGGACAAACTATTGTTTTGCAGAGTTCTCTCTTAAATTGGCATGCCAAGGCAAAATACAGTTATTTTTCAGTCATCTACCCTATGTTACACTTTATTAGCAATAGGTGGTTCTTCATAATTCTTAGGTTTTATTTTAAATGTTTTTTTCCACACTTGTTTCAGATCCATTTGGAACACTAGACCCGTTTGGAAGTGGTGCTTTCAGTAGCAGTGAGGAATTTGCAGACTTCAGTCAGATGTCAAAGGTAAAAGTTACAAGGAAAACAACTATTCAAAAATGCTAACACTTTTTTTGAGAGTGTAATTTGACTACTTTTTCACGTTCTGTTTTTCTCAAGTCTAGCAGATCTTTAAGTTTTACTAAGTCTTAACAAAATCAGTAGATTCAGGAGGAGGATAATCAGTTTTCCATACACATTTTCAAATATCAGAGGAGCAAAGCAATTAACTTCTGGTTTTTATTTGTCATAAGCAAAAGTAGTTGTGTGAGATATTTCAGTATCCAGCTTTTCTCTAAGTTATAGAATCTGCTTCTTGGTACTATATCTTTAATGGTATCCTGACTTGTTCTTAAACCTTTCCCTGAGTACAGGGAACCACAGGAAAATGTTAACTATAAAATAGATTATAATACCACTTACTTAATCAGTCTTCCTGCAATATTTTCTTTTTTTTTCTTACTGTTGTCTATTTTTCTTCTCCACTAGATGGCAATAGTTTTTACCAATATTGGTATTTTTGCTTTGATTAGAAGTTTTAGCAAAAGCCTGACTTAGAGCTTGAGCTTTGGATTATTTTTTTATTTCAGAATAATAAATTACTCTGCATGGCTTATTATTATTTTTTTCTTTTTTTTTTTGCCTTTTTTAAGCATTAGAACTCTTCCCTCCTAAGAGCCAGCTGAATGTGGAAAAGATGTTAAATATATATTTGGAATTTTCCATTGGCTTTTAGAAAAGGAAGACATGTAGGCATGTGTGATTTGGGGAGAGTTTAGAAAAAAAATCTGTCCATTGTGCAGTCTGTGATGTTTTCAGAATTGCTGATTTTGTTTCACAGTTCTGATTACCGTAGAATGAAGACTAAATTGTAGTATGACTGTTCATTGCCAAATGATAAAAAGTAGTATTTTACTTTTGTTTTTCTCATCAAGCTTTGTCTAGAAGTAGGAGCTCTAGAAGTACTTATGTGATTTAAAAGCATAAATACTTCTGAATATTAGTGCGATTCCGGCACCTTTATTGCTGGGCGTTAGCCTGTCACATCACTGCCATAATTCTGTAAATCTTTGTCCTCTTTTTTTTTTTTTTTGAGCTAATACTTTTGCTTGAGTTGCCTTGTAGCTTTCATGAAACCACAATTATTCTGCAGTGTGCTTATTTCTCTTCTTTTTTTCTCTTGTAGTCAGTAGCATCAGATCCCTTCACCTCCTCTTTTGGAGGAATGGGATTCTCGGATGACCCTTTCAAAAGTAAATCAGACACACCAGCATTACCACCGAAGAAAAACGTCCCTCCACGGCCTAAGCCACCCAGTGGTAAGGAGGTTTTTGGTTTTTAATAGCCACTTTCCCCAAGTTTACTATATGTTCTTGGAAGTGAGAACAAGCTGTCAGTCTTCCATCACTTTGTATTCCAACAGTGGAGGAAAGCCTGAGATTATCAGTAAATAACATAAATTGCCAATAAAACAGACTGGAACTCTTCAGCCTGGGGAAAAAAAAGATTAAGGGCAGATGTGACAGATCTGTAAAAATCACTTGCAACAGGGAGAAATGGGGATCGTTTATTCTGTCCCTTCCAAGTAGGCATCAAGTGAAAATAGTAAATGGCAGCTTCAAAGTAAGCAAAAAAGGGTGCTTTTATACTGTGTGCTAAACTTAGTGGTTTTTTGACAGAAAATATGATAACTGACAAAAATTAAAATGGGCTTATAAAGAAATCTTAGGAGAGAAAGACATTAGGGGCTATCAAATGCCAGAGTACTCTTTCTGGTTCAGAAAGTCCCTGAAGTGTAAGCTGCTGAAGGTCTGAAAGGTAATGTGAAGGGTTGCCACATCCTTGTCTTGTTTTGATGTTTTTCTGCAGAAATCTGCTACTAGGCACCAACATGAACGGAGTGCAGGGCTAAAGAGACCTGTCCTGATCTGTCATGGGGTGATAGTACTTACCTGGATGCATTGCAATGTTAATTAAGTATAAAACATGTATTTAGAAAGAATGCATAGTTTGTTTCTGCTTTACATGCAACATCTTTAGAAATTCTTAAAGATGTATCAGTCTCCTGAATTGAAAATAAGATGTTTTTAGTAGGGATTTGACTTCAGGGTGTTTTTCTGCCCTCTCAAGAGTTGATTTTCAAAGCATTCAGTCAGATACCAGTGAAACTGTTTCAAGAACTGAAGCCACTTTAGAGATGTTGGTTTCAAGTCTACTTTTAACAATTGTGGTGTAGTTCGGTTAACGTTAGTGGTGAACGTTTAGCTAGCTCTAAAAAGAAAAAAACAGAGAGATGGATTCTACAAATAGGCACATAGTTTTGCCCAGGAGATGCGTGGGTCAACATCTAGAATTTTCTGCTATCCACTGGCAATGTTAGCAAGCATAATACAAAGAAACAGATACATTATCAAAGCTTCTCTGTCTATAAATGTGGATCGTCTATCTTGCTGCTCTTGCGTTTTGGAGCAAAACATGCACCCTGCACCCATCCTGTTTATAACAGATATTGTTAATCTTGCCTGTTTTGCAAACTAGTTATGCTAGAGCTCCTTGGGCAACATGAAAACTGCTTTCTATTGCAGGCGTTTCCTGAGGATATCAGTAAGTTTTCAAACCTTGAAATTTATTGATGAGGTTTTGTGTAGGTGAGTATTGATGAAAACTGACCAGAAAATGAGAAAATGGTCTAGGATTGCAGGAAGGTTCTCAAAGCACTCGGTTCCATGCATACCTTTTGTGAATATTTTCCATTATTGAGATGCTAGACAGCCTTTAGTAATTTGAAGTAGACATATTATGCAACTTGACAAATAACATCAACTAATTGGACACAAGTGAGTAGAAGCAGAAATGCAACAGTGGTAGGTGATCTTATTTGCCATTGAGAAGTCAAGGAGTATTTAAGTAACTATCTTTTCAGGTAAAGTCTGCATAAAATAATTCAGTGCTTAAAGAGGATCTGTCAGGTTGGATGAGTCAAACAAATACTAAATATACCTGTATTACTACTTTCATGTGGTTTCTTTCTGCTTCATTCTCAAAACATGATAATTTCTAGCAAATACAGTGCAATACTAGCAGCAAAAATGGGGGTACATGCCACAAAATAGACTGGCTAGGTGGGGGTTTTGCATTTATGTCTCCTTTCATTCCCTCTTTTGTACATGTTGAAGAATTTTGGCGAACATTTAGCTTTAGTAGTCTGTTTAAAATCTCAATGTGTGCCCTCAGTTTTTTACTAGACTTTTCAAGAATTTGTTTAAATGTGTACTTCTCCATCTTAGTGAGAGACTCCATATTCTTAAGGCTCCGCTGCTCTACCAAAAGCAAATGTTGTTATGATAAAATAGACTAAGGAGGAAACAAAGCAGGTTTTTTTAAAAGCAAATGAGCCTCATGTGCTTATGCAGCTATACTCCTCCCTTCCTTCCACACTAAAGCAATCTTCAGTGGTTACTTAAAGCATGAGAAATTACATAGTAATACACGGCGATGCTAGCAAGAGATACAAGGGTGCTTCGAAATGGGAGCACTGCTCAAAAAACAAACAACAGAAAAGAAACTTCCGTTGTTTCTTACTTTTCTCAGTGGTCTGTTTAATTAAAAAAACAAGTATGAGATAAAGATCTTGCTGAAAAACGACCAAATGCCAGCTATTACCAGAAAAATCTGTAGTTTGCCTTTCTATCCCCAGTTAATATGCCTTTTAGTGTAATTGTTTGGGGAATTTGTTTGTTGGGAGGATGGAGCATTTTAATATTGAGAAGTCCTTCTGTGGCTTTCTTGAGTTTTCTTACTCAGTTACAATAGAAATCTTGTTAAAAGAAAAAGCTTTAGTTGCTACCAACACCCTGCAATCAAATAGAAAGCATTAGTTAATATTTTTACAGAGAAATTAAAACCTGACTGATTTCCCCCAGCTGTTGTTAGGGGACACTAGCAGAATCTGTCAGGGGACCTTTCCGGGTTCAGTGTGTCAGGAGTCAACAGGCGTTAGGAGCTGTGGGACCTGCAAGCACCAGGTATCCATCAGGGCACTGCGGGGTGTCCTGGCTGCTCAGGACATGGACAGAATGTGCCCCAGGTCCCTTCTTGCCCCTCTGTTTTGTCCCCATAAATGAGCTGTGCATCCAGTCTTGCTTCTTCCTGAAGCTCTGTAGACATTGCCTTTGGTTGATGTTTGGTGAAGGTTGGATCAAGAGACCTTCAGAAGAACCCATAAAACTAAGTGGGATGTGTAGATCAGGTTGGCTGCTCCCATAGAAAGGCTCTGGAGGGAATTTTCATATAAGGCTTAGTGGATCTTTATAATTCCTGACCTGCTTGTTGCTGGTTACCTGTAAAGAAAAAGATTTTTTTTTAAAGTTAGTGTTTGTTGTTTTGAAATTTTGGTAGCAGCTCTGATCTGATGACTCTATCAGGAGGAACTTCTGTTCACAGCTGTCTGTGGTTATTACTATCTGGTGAGGATAGGCAAACACTTGTCGTGTGGCATGGATTAGAAACCCTTGAGATCCATATCTTTCCCTTCTCTAAAAGTATAGTCTTGAGTGGGATGACAACCATGAGATTATTTCCTTGAAGTTGTATTTTAGGTTGAATCTCAGGCTTATGTTTGTTCTCCATAAATCACGTTCCTCCTCTTTTTCTTTTTTCTTCTTCTTTTTGAACCAAAGGCTTCACGTGTTTCTCAGTTTTAAACTAGTTCTTACCTGGTTTGAGAAACAAATGCTACATTTGTTTCTGATGAAGTGTTCTACTATGCTTTTCAACATAGTGATTTAAAGATTAAGTGCAGAATCTTTAAGAAAAATCGAAGGAAATTCAAAAAATCAGTGAGCAGCAACAGAAAATGTTGAGAAAAAGGAGTTGCAGAAGTAGCAAGTATAAATTCAGGCACCAAAGCCTCAACATATCTTGGTTGTTCCTTAGCTACTCTGCATGTTTGGTTTTTTTTCCTCTTCAGGAATATCTTCGTAGCCCATGAAGTTCCTAGTGCCCAAGGTTCTAGTT